TCTATTTTGGCTCACGGTTCTTCATGGAGGAAGGAGACCAGGCAGCCAGGCACAGGAAGCCAGGAGAGATGTCACCCCCTTTTGCCTCGTCAGTCTAGGACCACAGTCCTTGGAATGGGGCCACTCACACTTAGGGCAGGGGGGTCTAAAGGCCCATCTCAATTAACCCAGCCTAGAACTGCCCCACAGACATGCCCAGAGACGTGAGTCTTCTGTGGCCCCATCCTGGCTAGCTGAGTGTCGATAATGAGCGATGCTCTGAGAAAGCTGCATCTAATCCCCAGAACTGCACTGTGTCGTGATGAAGTTCAGGAGGAGGGGCCATCCCGAGAAAAGAATGCTGGCTTCATGGGGAAGACAGATCTTGGTGCTAGTTTTGATTCTATGCTAATTTTTTAATTTATTTTTTTAATTTTATTTTCTATGATTTATTCACTTTATGTCTGGATTGTAGCCCCCTCCCTTGTCTACTTCTGGTCCCACCCTTCCTCCCTCTTCCCCCCTATTCCCCTCTCCTATTCCTCAAAAAGGGGGAGTCCTTCTCCCTACCATCTGACTCCAGCCTATCAAGTCTCATCAGGACTGCCTGTACCCTCTTCCTCTGTAGCCTGGTAAGGCTGCCCCACCAGTGGGAAGTGCTCAAAGAGCAGGCAACAGAGTCCATGTCAGAAATATCCCCTGTGTGGAGACTGAGCTGCCTATGGGCTACATCTGAGCAGGGGGTCTAGGTCTTCCCCATGCATGGTCCTTGCTTGGTGCATCAGTCTCTGCAGGCCCTCCTGAGCCCAGGTTTGTTGGCTTCGTTGGTCTCCTTAGGGAGCTCCTGTCCCCTCTGGGTCCTTCTATTTCCCCACTCTTCCCTGCAACTCCCTGTGCTCTGCCCAAAGTTTGGCTGTGAGCCTCAGCATCTGTTTCAATCCCCTACTGGGTGGAATCTTTCAGGGACATCAGTGGTAGGCTCCCGTCCTGTTCCATCTCAGGGATAGACATTTCCAGTTTCCATTCTATTTATTCTTCTGAATGAGAATTAAGCATCCTCTCTAGGGTCTTCCTTATTCCTTAGCTTCTTTAGGTCTGTGTATTTATGGTTATGCTGTAATTATATGGCTAATATCTGCTTATAAATGAGTATGTACCATGTGTATTTTTCTGCTTCTGGGTTACCTCACTCAGAATGATCTTTTCTAGTTCCATCCATTTGCCTGCAAATTTCATGATTTTCTTGTTTTTAATAGCTGAATAGTATTCCATTGTGTAAATGTATCTATTCTTTGATTGAGGAACATCTGGGTTGTTTCCAGATTCTGGCTGTTACGAATAAAGCTGCTATAAACATAATTGAGCAAATGTCCTTGTTTTATGGTGGAGCATCTTTTGGATATATGCCTAGGAGTGGAATAGCTGGGTCTTGAGGTAGTGCTATTCCCAGTTTTCTGAGAAAGTGCCAGATTGGTTTCCAAAGTGGTTGTACAAGTTTGCACTCCTACCAGCAATGGAGGAGGGTTCTCCTTTCGCCACATCCTTGTCAGCATGTACTGTCACTTGAGTTTTTGATCCTATGATAATTTTTATACAACTCAAGAAAAGGAACATTTTTATGCTAAGCTATTGGCAGGTTCGTATGTACAAAGACAGGCTACAACTGACTTCAAAACCATCACCTGCTCCTCTGCAGTTAGATGTCTGTGCTGTGATTCACAACATACCCCCAAGGCCTTCTCACCTGCTCATATTTTTACAAAGATCCTGTGAGAGATAATTTTACAACTCTCAGCCTGGCACTAGCCAAGGTCACTGTGGATCTGATTTTCAGTTTGCCCTGTGCTCCTGACAGCATGGTCAGCTTCTGCTTTCACAGGCACGGGGGAGACCTGGCCATCGGCGTCTCCAACCATTTGCTCATGAAGCAAAGGATTCAGTTTCCTGTTGAGAGCCTGTCAGGAGCAGGGCAGCTCAGCCTCATCTCTGGTCTTCGCTACCCTCCCACAGAACGAACGCACCGAGGTCAGTGCAGGCTGACCACACAGTGCGATATTGTCCAAGGATGACCCATGTAGCCCGAGATGGCCCGGTGAGATTAAACTGCCCAGACAGATTTGTGTAAACTGGGGACATGATGACCGTTAAGTGAAAAAGTCAGCTAATGAAGCATGGAGACATCCCCGTGGTTAAACTGTGTGTGACTCTCGCTTTTCCTATCAGCTCTGCTGCTTCTGGTTTTTTTTTTTTCTTTTGTTCTTTTTTTTTCAAATTTTTTTATTAATGCAACACAAACACAACTGGTTTCATTGTGGTGTTCTCAGACATGACGCTACACCTTGTTTCCCACCATTAGCCTCCCAGCTTCCCCTCCTGTGCCCTGCCCGCTCTGCCTGCCTCCTTCCTTCCCCCAGACGCTGTGTGCTCCTTCTGAGGACTCCTCCCCTCCCCAGGGTCCTGACTGACACAGACGTGAGCACACGTGTGCCGCTGGAGAGGAGGCTCTGCTGTTAGGGACACCTGCTGCTCTGGCAGAGGACAGAGGCCAGTGCCCAGCACCCATGTCAGGTTGTGCGCAGTCACTACAACTCCAGTTCCAGGGGATCTGCTGCCCTTTCCTGGCCTCCACGTGCACCTGCACTCATGGGCTCATGGGCACCCCCCCCCAAACACATACAATCATACATAGTCATAATTAACGTAAAAAGTGTTAAAAATAAAAATAGATAAGCGCACACTCATTCTCCCTTCCTCTGTGTGTGTGTGTGTATAGCGGGGAGGGAGCTGTATGCGAAGAGGCTGTGTGGGAAGAGGCTGTGTGGGAAGAGGACCCTGTGGTTGTAAGACACCTGCTCATCCTGCCCTTCCTGAACACCGTCCACGTTTACCAACTGTGTAACAGATGGAGCTAAACCAGAAAGACACGCTCGGAGGATGGGAACAAACCTGAAAAAAAATAAAAGACAGGAAGGGGAGGCTCTCGTCCCTGGCTGAGCCCTGAGGCCTGCACTTCTGAACGGGGTGCCACCTAACCCAGGTGAGACTTGTGTGCTGTAGGCGTGGGAAATCCAAGAGCCATCATCCAAGCGTGTCGGCCAGCGCCTGCCGGCAGCACAACACCTGCACCCCTCAGCTCACGGAGAGAAAAGGCATGTTTGGCTCACAGCGTGCGAACTCCCAGCCTGGGCCAGCTGGCCCTGCTTCCAGGTCTGCAAGGCAGCGTGCTCTGGCCGGAGCACAGCATGTGCTTCCTTCTGGACGCCGGGGGAGGAGGAAAGGCCCTCAAGAGGACTTCCCCAATGTTGCTCATGACACTATGAACGATACTCTGCCTCGCTTGTAGACAGTCTAGCATAGCTGTCCTCAGAGAGGCTCCACCCAGCAAGGATTGAAACAGAAGCTAAGACTCACAGACAAACACTGGATGGAGCACAGGAGCCTTGTGGAAGAGTGTGTGTCTGTGTGTGGGGGGAGGGGAATAGAAGGACCAGAAGTGGGGCAGGAGCTCCACAAGAAGACCAACAGAGCCAACTAACCCGGGCCCAGAGGGGCTTGCAGAGACTGAAGCACCAACCAAGGACAACACATGAACTAGACCTGGACCCCCACACAGATGTAGCCCATGACAGCCCAGGCTTCATGTGGGGGCCCTAATAAGTGGCTGTCCCTGACATGGACCCTGTTGCCTGCTTTTTGATCACTCCTCCTGGTGGAGCTGCCTTGTCAGGCCACAGGGGTGAGGACACCAGAGCTGGGGGGTGGTTGAGGGGGCCCCCTTTTTCCGAGAAATAGGGGATGGGAGATGGGGCTACAATTGGGATGTAAAGTGAATAAATAAATATTTTTTTAATGGAAAAAAAAGAGGAGGCAGATCCTGGCATGCTGGTACATGCCTGTAATCCCAGCACTTGGGGAGGCAGAGGCATGCGGATCTCTGTGAGTTCGATGCCAGCCTGGTCTACAAAGTGAGTCCAGGATAGCCAAGGCTACACAGAGAAACCCTGTCTTGGAGGGTGGGGGGAAGAGGAGGCTTCAGAAATTAATTTTCCACCATAGCAAGCACTGTGTCCCCCGGTTTTCCTCACTGTCAATGCTTGTTACTGCTGGGGATTTTCACGGAGACAGTTCTGTGTCTCTAAGGTAGAAAAAGGCGCGAGGGAGTAATTTCATAAAGTCTGGCCCCAGCTTGTGGAGCAAGGACTGTATCTCCTCAGGAGGTCCAGAAACTGCTCTGAAAGGCAGGTCCTCATGCATCCAGGCCCAGCTGAGTGTGCAGTGGCCGAGGCAGAAGCTCTTCCATCTCCCACACATGCACTTTCTCTCTCTGGGCTCCAGGTAGCTGCAGCTCTGCCCCAGCCCCACTACTTCAGGTTTTTACTTACCTGAATGAAAATGGTTGTTTCCAGTCAGACCCAGCCCTGGCCCAGTGAGCCCACCCCTGTGCACTGGGCTCCCCGAGGAGGCCTGCTGCTCCCATTCTCACAGGCTGTTTTTCAATCACTTCCATTTCACATCTAGTCCAAGTGTGGAAGAGATGAAAACAAAGTAAATTCTACTCTAATAGATTTTGGAATTTTCAGCGGTAACAGCAGGCATCTGATTACGGTTCTGTGCCCACAGGAAGGGCGAGTTCTCCTGGCACAGAAAACCTGGAGCTTTCCAACTGGGCGATAATCAAGGATAACAGCCCACACAGCAGTGCAGAGGTGAAACTCAGCCCTGAGCATGCTTCTTGAGGACCAGGGTGTCAGAGCAAAGGCTGCGATGGCTTCACACTGTAAGCATTGTGTGGAAAATGCAATTTAAAAATACTTTATTGAGTTAATTCGTATACGATTTTGCACATGGAATGTTTGATGTGGATTCCCCCAGGTAATTTGCTCCCATAATTGGTGATAAATGCTAGTTAAATTTAATATCCACATTGTGCTAGATAGTTTTATGTCAACCTGACCAACTCCACTCAAGCTAGAGTCATCAGAGAGGAAAAAGCCCCAGCTGAGAAAACTGACTCCATAAGATCCAGCTGTAAGCATTTTATTTCTTAATCAGTGATGAGTGGGAGGAGCTCAGCCCATCTTGGGTGGATTACACATGTGCGGTTGGGGCAAAGTTGATGCCCAGTGTCTTCCTTGGTCTCTCGATCTCTTCCACCTTGCTGAACCTACAGCTGTCCCATTTGGCTGGTCTAGGTATCCTGCTTGCTCAAAGGGATCTCCTGTCTCCCTTTTCCATCACTGGGGCTGCAAAGTGGGTCTCCAACAGCCGTCATATTTATGTGGATTCAAACTCTAGTCCTCGTGCTGGCATGGCATGTGCTTCTCCCACTGAGCCACCTGTCCGGCTCCCACTATGTCTGTTTCGCAGGTTTGTTAACATTCAGTTCACACACCATCAAATATGTGTGGTGGCTAATTTTCAGTGTCCATCTGGCTGGACTCAGAATCACCAAGAAGACTACATCTCCGGACAAGTCTTTGATAGTACCTGCAGAAGATCTAGCTGAAAATACATGAGAGGGAAAGAAAGAGAGGGAGAGAGATGGGAAAAGAGAGGGAGATAGGGAGAGAGAGAGAGAGAAAGAGAGAGGGAGAGGGAGAGGGAGAGGGAGAGGTGGAGAGACACACAGAGTCAGAGAGAGGGAGAGAGAGGGAGAAAGAAAGAGGGAGGGGGAGCAGCATACCCACAGAGGCTAGAAGAGGGCATCAGATCCCCTAGAGCTAGAGTCACAGGTCATTGTGATCCCCACAGGATTGGGGTTAGGGTCTCACCTCTTGTCCTCTGGAAGAGAAGGAAGTGCCTTTAACCTATGAGCCATTTTTCCAGCCTTCTGCAGGTTTCTTTTAAACATCAAGTTCCTGCTTGGCACAGCTGTTAAAGCTTCAGGAAAGCCATTAGTGTCTCTGGTCCTCCGTGCTTCAGTATTAAAATTGGTGACACCAACATTGACTTCTCTAGGCTTTCCCACAGCTCAGCATTGGTACAGTGAAGGCCAGCGGTGAGCGAGGCAGGGCTGAGCCACTTCTCCATTGCTGCGACAACACAAAGAAGGAAAGCATGATTTGGGGCCCAGTTTAAGGGGGCAGGAGCTTGGAGCAGCCGGTAGTGATGCCTGCTCAGCCAGGAAGCAAAGTATGGTGAATCTTTTGCTCGGCTCGCTTGCTTCCTTACAGTTCAGGGGCCCAGCCCAGGGGCTGGTGTTGCTCACCCAGTGCGTGTCTTCCCCTCTCAGTTAGCCTACCCCACCATAGGCGTGCCAAGTGACACACTCCACAGGGTGGGGCCTGGGAGGCACGCCTGTGTGTTCCGGGAGGCTTTCACTGAGAGGGCAGGCTGACCCGAGTGTGAGGGCACCACGCTGGCTAGGAGCACAAACTGGACAGAAGGGAGGGAGGTGAGCCCCAGCCAGCACTCACCCTCTGCTTCCTCATTTGGTGCAAGGTCACTGGCTGTTTTGCCCTCCAGGATGGACTCTGCCCTCAGCCTGTGAGCCAGCCCTGCCTTCTGTAAGCTGCTTCTGACAGGGTTTCTGTCAGAGCAATGAGAAGGCAATGGGCACATGGTGGGCACAGCGTGGCACGTAGGTGGAATACAAAGTCTTCTCCAGACGGCCTGGATGATCCCGTGGAAGGTGCCCAGCTTAATTGTCCTAATTTTCAGGCCCCACGGAGAACAGGTGGAATATTCCTGGGTTTTCCGACCTCACTCTCTTCACAGGTTGCACTGTACAAACGTAAACTGGTTGTAGGAACCAGAACTGAGCGGCGGACTGCCGCCTCCTGCTAACCAAAGGGGAACTCTCCAGGAGACAATGTGGCCCCTGCCCGCACTGGAGAGATGTCTCTGCACTTCAAACACTCACTGCTCTTCCAGAGGACCCAAGTTTGGCCCCTGGAACCCATGTTGGGAACCTCCGGGAGACCCGCTACCTTCTTCCGGCCTCTGTGCGGGCAGCTCCACAGGGATGGCACACATAGAGACACAGAAATAAAAATAAAAGTAAGAGCAAATCTTGTAAACAAGCTCCTCAGCCTCCCGGTGTCAAGGTACAGGTGTGTACAACTGCATCTGGGTTAATAATCGGAGAGCACAGTGCCGTTAGTTCACACTTTTGGCCTGTTTCCCCACTCTTAGAGTTTGGCAGAGATGGCAGTGCCAGCTAATAAATCTTATGTATTGAATTTTTTGTTCGTAGCTCATAAGTTACTCTCTTCCTTGGGTTTAGACTTCAAACGTCCAAGAGTCTTCATCAAATCTTTGCCATTGCATCCATCTTTCTATGTGATCTACCATTGTGTGTGGCATGCTCCGCCTCCAAACTGACTCCCACCTCCTCTATGCTGTCATAAGAACACAAGACAGGTAACCCTAACCCTGAAATACACAGCAAAGCTCGTGAGTGACACACAGACCTGACATCTGTTAATCGGGTGAGTCAGTGGAGAGGGCTAGCTGCCTCTCTGATTGCCCTTTTCCATGCACACCGTGTCACGCCTCACGTCAAAGGGAACTAACTCACCCCAGGTCGTCCACTTGCACAGCAACTTGGGACTTGGGCCAGCTGGTCTTACGCCTGCTTCTCACACAGGTGTTTAAGCGTTTGTTTGTTTGTTTGTTTGTTTGTTTAGTGTTTGGGAAGTACAGGTGAGGACAGTGGGAAGCAGAGGCTGATGGGGGATGGGAATATCTGTGGGGGAGGTGTGGTCTAGGAGCAGAATAAAACACACACCTGAGGAAGAGCCCACAACAGCAGGTAAAGAAGCTGAACTGTTTACGTCTCGGTTCCCAGAAGTGACTGGCTAAGGGCAGTGTCGTGGAAACTGAGCTCCTCCGCACCTGGACTTGCCATGCAGGGAGGCAGAAAGGGAACCGGAAACCACAGGCTGCAGCTGAGGTCGGTTGGCAGGAGGGCGTGGAGAAGTACAGTCTGCAGGGCAGGACTTGACAGCTACCTCTCCAGAGCCTGTAGTGACCTTGAGAGCAGGGATGTGAACTGTGCTTCTAACGGAAAGAACCTGCCTCTGGTTCCAGAGTCTCCCAGACCCTCATTTCCACTCCCAACCTGCTCACTCCCAGAGGCAGTTGCTGAACTGTTGTTTGAGACCATGACAAGGTTAAGTATACATACATGTATTCCAGTTTCCTTCTGTTGCTGTGATAGAACTCGACAACCAACATGGTCCATCACTGAAGGAAACCAGGACAGGAACCAGAGCAGACCTTGAAGCAAAGACCTTGGAGAAATGCTGCTTGCTGGTTGAATCTCGGACCCATGCCTGGTTAGCTTTCTTGTAGAGCCCGGGACCATCTGCCCGAGGAATGGCTCCACTTGCGGTGGACTAGACCTTCCTGTATCATTAGCAACCAAGACGGTCCTACAGACATGCGCACTGGCTGGTCTGATCTGAGCTACCCCTCAGTTGAGGGGCCCTGTTGGGTGATTGTAGAACGTGTCAGGTTGACAGTCAACAATATCTAGAACACCACAGTCTGAAGAAAGAAGAGGCCTCTCCAGGTCACCTAGACCCTCGGGAACTCCTTCCGGGCCCCGGGTCTAGACCTCCTCTCTGGCTCCTGTGGCTGCCTATCTAAGCAGCCATGGAAAGCTTTATTCTACTTCTCTGCCACCAATCAGTCCTCATATTATGGTGAGAAGTTGTCGACCAGATGGATTGGACTGCTGGTTATAAAGCTTAAATATACGCTTTAAATTTCCATTTTTCTATTTCCTGGGTTTCATTAATGGAAATCAACAAGCAATTATGCAAAGGTTCAGCCAGAAAAATCTATGGCAAATTGTAATAAGATGTAGTCCCAGCAATCAGAGACTGAACTTAATTAACACTCTGCTACTCTGAGTTTATATAATGTAGACTTAGATGCCTTAGTTATAACTCTCATTTTACATTGAGATGGATTTCCTATTAATATCTAAGTCACTAGGAGTATTCACCTATGCATGGGACCCACTGACCCTCTGCAATAAAACACCAAGGCAACTATGCTTCACTGTGGATCTTGCTAAGGCACCCGGTGCCCTTGGCATGCTGGCTGCGCCCTGCTTCTGCATCTGTATTTCATAAGGCTGACTGAACTACCAGGAAACTCATTCACTGTTTAATTTCCAGGCCTCACTCTCTGGCCAAAAAAAAAAAGAAATCATGGTTTAGAAGAACCTTTTATTGTAGAGTAGAACGTTGGTCATTTTCAATGTTATAAATTTCTCCTGAAATTTGACTCTTTAGTTTTTCACTGCAGAGTCCTTTGGTAATTGCAGAAAAGCCAGAATGAATGAATTTTGCAGTAAAGACGATAAAGCTTGGAAGGACTAGTGATGCTCAGATTTAGACATTGGGTAAGGCCGATGACCACATTTGGGCTAAGTGACAGCGTTGTCACCAGCTGGCTTTCCAAGAGAAAAGTGGAGGCACAGGCCTGCTGTTCCCGTGGCTGAGGAGCGGCCTGTGAGAAGCATTTTCACAGCTGTCCTTTGTTCTGGGGACTCAGAGCTCAGAACAGGCTCCCATCCACTTCCAGGCTGGGACAACACCCCTGTTCACAGTGCTGAAAGCAGTTTAGATGCAGCAATCCAGGAGCCGCAAGAACAGCAGGACTGGGTAGCTAGAAAGAAAGGCAGACACCCTTTGCTAAGGACAGGACTCATGTGCCAAAAGTGAGGAAGGTTTTCCTCAAGGCGCCACTCGGGACACCAGACCATCTCACCCAAGGCGAGCTGGGTGGCCTGCCCCTGCCAGAGTCACACAAAGGATAGCAGACAAGGGGAAGATAGCAAACAAATGGGAAGAGGAGGATCCAGGATCCTACATCCTCCATTTCAGGACTCCAAGCTGTAAGACACTGGTCATGGTGGTCCATTTTCAGTATGAGGTGGCTTCCTGAAAGCTTCCCAGAGCGTCCGGATGAAAAGGACCTAGGCACTCCCCTCCGGAGCTGGTGACCGGTACCTGCTTGTCTCAACTCCGAGAGTTGGGAAGTCTTGGGCATCTGTTAAAAAACTGAGCCACGGTTTTTTAAACCACAGCCTCCCACAGAAGTAACAAGGCCATCTTGCACTTGCTCTGTGTGTGCACACCTCTCTACAGAGCAGCACAGGGAGCTGCTTCACGCTCGCCGGTCTCCGTAACTTACGATAGAGGAGAGCCTTGTTCCCTCGGCCTCTCCCGTGTTCCCTCGCCATCACTCCCAGTGCTTGCTCCCCGGGACCTCAGTGGGCTCTCCTCCCTGGGGAGCTTACCTTCCCAGAGTTTGCGCACACCATCAGCACTGGGGAGAGAAAAGAATTCTTGGTTCTAACCAGAAGCTTTTTACCTGTATGTAAAGTCAGTGTTGCTTTATTTCCCACTTTAAAAACAACGCCATGGTCCATCGGCAAACACATGGAGGCTGGAGAACCTCACATGCCAAGCTGCTCACCCCATCAAACCCCAAGAGGGTGACTGTGAGAAACTTAGTCACTCTTTTTCAGCCCTCCCACTGGAACTACCTTTAGGAAAAATATGTGTGTGTGTGTGTGTGTGTGTGTGTGTGTGTGTGTGTGTGTGTGTGATTTAAAAATTGTTGTTCCTAGCTCTGAGCTGTTGTGACACATTCATGCCATCACTGTTAGGAATGCTACCCAGACCCCACCCCACCCCACCCTGCAAGAACATCAGGCCTGGCACACGCACATGCGCTGACAGTGGCCACCTGAGTGTGGCCCCAGGATGCCCAGGCTTCAAGACAGGAAACCTGTGTCCAGGAGAGGAGGGAGAGGGAGGATTCTGGTCGGACCTTCAAGATGGCCTCCAGGGGGGACCACGTGCAGAGAGGGGCACACTGGTGTGCAGGGAGATGCCGACTGCCACTGACCAAATTCTCCCAGGTGCCTTCAGGCCCCGAGCCCAGGAGCGTCTCTTGATCTCTTGAACCCTGACAGTGACAGGTGGCGGTGCACACCTGAAATCCCAGCACTTGGGAGGTGGTGTCAGGAGGATGGTGAGTTCAGGGCCACCCATGCTCGTGAGTTTCAGGAAAATGGGAGCATGTGAGGGTGTCTCAAAACACCAGAGAAGGAAGAGTTTCCCAGTGTGGGAAGAGACATGGAACGTCATCATCGTCAAAAATAATAATAACAACAATAATAATGATAAAAACAGGTTGTCCATCAAAGAGGAATTGATAAAGGAAACTTATGGCTTATATAGTTTTAAATATATATTTAATTTTAAAGCAATTTTATGATAATTAAAAGAATAAGGTCCTTAAGAAATACTGTCTATATTTCCT